TATGAAATTTTTTCTGAATTACAAGAATGAATTCTATTTCTCGACACATTCATTGAAAATGGAGTAAACTTATTAAGGTAGAATCATATACTCTTCAGTATATTACTCCGTATTACTTCAGGCTGATTCCAGCGTATGACAATCCATGAACTACATGGAATACATTACATTTTACAAATTGTATTTTGTAAAATGTTGTCTTCTGTCATATTGTTTCAGTGGTATTTCTTGTTACTGTCTGTTGACAATGACAATCGAATTGAAAAGTTACAGAAAGAAATTTTATTATTCTTTATGGAATTTCAATAATCAAGAATAAGAAATATCAGAATGGGTTTTGTGGATATTATAGTAATTTTAACAGTTGAGATCATAAGTCAATTGAAGTTAGATCACCATGAAAAGCCTGGAAGCACTGGATGGCCGTTTAATCCTACTGTGGGACTCCTCTTTGGTAGTGCGATCCACAATCCCGCCCCCCCCCGCGAAATTCCAACTCAGGACCTATCAGTCTCGCACGCGAGCACTTAACCACTGGATCACTGAGCCGGCCGGAATCCAATGGTGTTAATGTCTAACTCCAATTAATCCACGAAATTGAGCGACACATCCACCATTGTCGTCAGTGAGTTACTATCTCACAGCTGACCCGGTTGAACTCCACTAGAGTTGGATGCCGGCTCAATGGTCAAATGGTTAAACGCTCACGTACAAGACTGATAGGTCCTGAGTTAGGATTACAAGAGACGGGGTTGTGGATATGCATTTTTGAGGAGTCCCACAATAGGACGAAACGGCCGTCGAGTGCTTCCAGGTTTTCAATAATAGTCTTACTTCAATTAACTTATGATCACAAATATTAAAGTAAGAAATATAACTTATGCTGATTGTCTGATTCTTTAGTAAATCAAAAGTTTTAGTAGGGTTGAATTGAAGGTTTCCTTTAAACATATACATAGTAAAGAAATGATTTATTTTAATTGATTTTTCATGTGTATTAGTTTAGAGCCATGATGAGAAACATTGTAGACTGTAACCAACTAAATAAAGTTATGTAGTCTTCATGTGATCAATATAGATTGAAATTCAATTTCATACTTAAATCTGACGTAATAGAGATTTAATAGAATTTTCAGCACTTTATGTTTCGAATGAGTAAGTGAAATAATAATTCAAGTCATCAAATTATAAACTACATACTACTGATAATAAGTGAGCATTCATATTTACTTACATTAGTAATCTTTCATTTCAAGTAAATAAACTGATACTAATCAACATATGCTTACTAATGACTGAATTCAAGAGGTATATCTTAGAGCTCTAGTGAGAAGTAGTGACCAGTGGAGTTCAACTGGGTCTGTTGTGAGATAGTAACTCACTGAAGACAATGGTGGATGTGTTGATCAATTTTGTGGATTAGTTGAAGTTACACATTAACACCGTTGGATTGAGGCCGGCTTAGTAGTCTAGTAGTTCAGCTCTTGGGCTCGAGACTGATAGGTCCTGAGTTGGAATCTCGCGGGGAAGGGCGGGATCGTGGATGCTTACTGTTGAGGAGTTCGACAATAGGACGAATCGGTCGTCCAGTACTTCCAGGTTTCCCATGGTGATCTAGCTTCAATTGACTCATGATCTCAACTATTGAAAGTAAACTGATGATTTATTTTCTTTTTACTACTTAAATGAATTTCATATTCTTTCTACAAATGTGATTATTACTATTGGATCTGTGACGTATTTATAGTTTTCCATTAGACGTATAATGTTTATAGGATCTCTTCTATATATGTCGTTGTGAACAATACATAATTCACCACATAGTGTTTTGTTTCAGTTTAATACAATTCATTTATTAATCATTTATCACAGTTCATCACTATAAAAATAGCTATTATAGATTGATGATCTATGGTAGAAATGAAAAACCTACAATGGATTAATGATTATCGACTTCAGGTTTTATATCGATTACAATGGGCGAACTGATCATTTTGTCAGCAAAACAACAAATATTGAAATACAGTGAAAATTCCCATTTTGGAACTTGGTATATAGGGAACTAATAAGATCGAAGAAATTTCTTTTCAAGTAGTTTTTCATCAATTCTGTAGATTAATATATATATATATGATTTACAACAATGTAATAATATTCATCGAATAGTATCATTACGTAATAATCATGTAGGGGAATGTTAGTGAATAAAGATGATATATCTAATTTACTTAGTATTGTCTGTTTTATACTTCCCATTGATGTTTAGAACATCAACTCTGAGATTCAGGTACATCCGGTTGACGAGTCCCAAATAGGACGAAACTCGCGTCCTGGATTTCACTGCTAACCGTTATCCATCTTTGGATATAATGGTATTGTTATAATTTGTAGCCTGTGTGTCCTGTTGATGCATAACGTAATGATACATCCAATTAGAGAACAGTGAATTATCGACCGGACCAATGACGCGTAAACCCGTATGAGTAGTCGAGTACTTATCGGTCTTGCTTACCGACTAGCCCAGCCTGTTAAGTCCATAACATCAATCTCAGTATCTCTGATATGAATCATTTATTTCAAACATACTGGATTTATATACAAACCAAACAGACCACATCGTACCATAAAATAGAAAATACACATTTTTACAAGATTTAGCCAAATGTGGCTGTGAATAAGCGGGACACCAGTTGCTAGCAGCGTTTCCTGGTCCGAAACCCTACGAACGCAATCTTCAGATCCTGGATACAAACCAATTTGGTGTGGTACGCTAACTTGAGCAAAAGATACAGCACGTTTCTCCTGGTACCGTTCTGCGTAAAAGACCTTCGGTGGCAACTCGAGGATAAACGATCGCTTCCTGTTCCGCCAACCCTTTCGTTCTACAATCACACGTTTGCCAATCAGTCCCACGAACGAAACCACTACGTAATGTCAAAAGCATTTCGATTTAAATCCTATAGTTGATTATATTTACTTTATTCTTTAGTCTGCTACCACCAATCGATTTATGTATAGTATGATACCAAAGAAATATTTAAATAGAAAGTTCCTATATAAATATCACAGTCAAATCTACCGTGGAGTTGTAATAAACTGTGAGAGAATTTTGTGAATTAAAGTACCCACTAAAGTTACTACAATGGGTAAACATCTGAATCAGTTTGAATATGCTTAATCATAAACAAACGTTTCGAAAATATTGATATAATGGGTACTACAGAATAATAATGTTTTATAAAGAGGTCATTTGTCATCACAGTTTTCTGATAGTCCAAATATGTGGAATATTGCTTCAGGACTAGTTTGTCATAGCCTAAGCTGATTGGAGTAAGTTATGTAGTTATGTGTGCTAACCACTTCATCCTACTTGTCAGTCCCATCAACCCTAATGAATAGGTGTCTGACAAAATCTCTACACCAATTCAGAAAACCAAGTTGGTTTATACCGAATTGTTGTATTTCGATAGGAATAATGAATGGTAATTTTGGGATCCATTTATGGACCAATACTGTGAGTATATTTTGACCGTATAATTGTTAAATAACTAAACTATTCATATTCCTGTTCCTCTTATCATATGCTTCATTTTGACCCATAAACTATTATTATACGTTTTACCATTCTTGAGTTATACCCTGTCTATTAATTACTACCTCCCTCATTCACAGCCACATCTGGCTAATTCTTGCACAAATGTTGTTTCATATTTTATTGGTACGTTGTGGTCTGCTTAATTGGTATATAAACTCAATATGTTTGAAATATAATGATTCATGTCGCAGAGGCTGAGACTTGCGTTCTGGACTCAACTGGCTGGGCTAGATAGGGAAGTAGGGCCGATCGGGACTCTAGGTCGTCCTTACGTGTTTAGTACGTCTTTGGTCCGATCGATAATACGCTTCGCTCTAATCTGCAGTCCACAGTTATAACACGAATCGTGTCAATTTTCGCCTTGGAAAGGTGTCCGTTTACCAACAAAGGACTAGTATGATATTAAGTGTGTAACATATTGGCTATGAGGGTGAAATATATATGTGTAGACTACAGTTTCGTGAGCATTTCTGACTCATCGTGGAACCACTGAGTAAACAATATTCAGTTCATTTATTTGCTTTTTTGGAAATATAGTAATTTAGTATATGAGACTGGATCTTTACGAATAAGATGTTACGGACTTGTGTCACTTTAGTGTAACCATCATCCAATCCGATGCGTGATATTGACTGATATAGAAGTATGCTATAGTCAAACTGACAGTGACTAAGCTTGAATATAGTGGTCACTTATGTAAACATTAAATAACATAGTTCAAAATCGGTCACAGTTAAACAGACACACTCAAATTTTATTGTTTACTAGATCTTGTGTTCCCAGAGACTTACTTATGCACCTTTCGACTCCACATTTCTCATTATCGTTCCTTATTGTCGTGCTTATATGGTATAGCTTAGCAACAAACTACTGTGGAAGGGAACAAACCAGATCCCAGTGGAGGAAGAAATCAGAAAGAAGCAATGGAAGTGGATAGGATACACATTGAGGACAGCACCCAACTGCGTCACAAGACAAGCCCTCACATGGAATCCTCAAGGCCAAAGGAAAAGAGGAAGACCAAAGAACACATTACGCCGGGAAATGGAAATAGACATGAGAAAAATGAACAAGAATTGGATGGAACTAGAAAAGAAGGCCCAGGAAAGAGTGAGATGAAGAATGCTGGTCGGTGGCCTATGCTCCATTGGGAGTAACAGGCGTAAGTAAGTAAGTAATATAGTATAGCAGCTTGTTTTAATGTTGGTTTTATTCAAGACTCCAGTATGAGTTTGTCCTATGAATCTTCTATGTTTATTTGAAAAATACTTTTTTTTTCAGAACAGAACGAATTTTCCAAATAAAATTGATTTTTATTTAAACTTGATTAATAAAGCAAATTAATTAAATGTCAATACAGGATCTTCAACAAGATCTTCGAACAAATTCAACTGAACTAGTGTGATTAATATTTGTGATGAACATTTTCATGCACAATTTCATCAAAGTTATCATAAAACTGAAAGTGAAATAGAAATTTCTTGTTATTTAATTGATTTTATTATTATTATTGGCTTTATTCACTATTATAGTCTTGGTATAATATAGGATTCTCCGCATAATGTATTTCAACAAGTTTCCTTTCTTTATTTCTTGCTCAATCCTGATGATCAATATTGAGTTGTCGCCAGTTAGATGTTAGCAGTTCATCAATCGACATTTGAATAATGTACATTCTTTTCGATGCATATTGTCAACAACCATTATGTCTTTGATTGGGATCTTTTGTAAATTATACAGTGAAATGTTGTAAACATTTCACAAATACATCTGAATAGGTTATGCGATTAATAGGCATAATGATGTGTTAAAACAATGAAAAAACCTGTGCTCACTATTGACCAGGTTCTTGAGGGAATTCTCGGAGTTCTAGTGAGAAGCTGTGACCAGTGAAGCTAATCGATGTCGGGTAGAGACAGGTATCTACCTCAGTATAATGGAAGATGGTCGCACAATTTCGTGGATTGGTTGGTGTTAGACACTAACACCATTGGATGTCGGCTCAGTGGTCCAGTAGGTTAAGCGTTCGCGCGCCAGACTGAAGGCCCTGAGTGGATGCGCACTGTTGAGAAGTCCCACAATAGGACGAAACGGTTGTCCAGTGCTTCCAGGTTTCCAATGGTGGTTTAACATCATTTGGTTCATGATGTCAATCAAAAACAGATAATTCGTTGAAATATCCAGATTGCATAAACAGGTAGCGCAGGTATTCAAATAGGTCACCTTGATTACAATATATACCTACTGTTGTTGAATAGAATGTTATTCTATCCATTTCAAGAATTTATATCAACTGAAAGATTTAATGTCCTTTAACCTTATCCATCAACCGATTTGAAATATATTCATCGACAAAAGTTATCAATCTGATGGTCACTTTATTTAAGTCGAAATGATCAATTGTTTTAACAACCATTGTATATATTTCATATAATGTATTCACATAACAAGTCTTAATGGAACAAGTCAGTTAACAAGTTGTCTCGAATGTCATTATATTACAATGACCAACATAAGATGAACACATAGATGGCCAAATTTCTGCTAGTTTCTAAACAAAAAGGATATAAATTTGAATTACATTTTTTAAGAAATCAACTGTTTGCTCAATATTTCTCGAAGCGAAGTCGTAGTTAACTGAAATAGCAAAGAAAGCACAAACCATTATTTTGTATAGTAAAATACATATTAATCGTTGATCTATCGTTTTGTAGGCAATGAAATTAACTCCAAGCAATGGACTGTCTACTTATTCCTAATAAGTCACAGAAAATGTTCATTGACTTTCTTCACAATTGTTGAGTACGTTAGATCCCTCGAACTCACTTGAAACAAAGGTCCTAATTTTGTCATTTTATTCTGAAAATTCGGATTTCATATTTTCACACCAGCAGACGCTTAGTTGACATACAGCTTACATTTCCCACCCCAAAATCATTCACTGTCATTGATTGACGGTTTTCTTTTCTACGCTATTTTGTGGCTCTCCTAAGGGTGTTTCTATCATTCTATAAATAAGCTTGATTTGTGTGCCTGGTGACCTCGTATTTTCTGGGTGATTGTAGAATACATTCTCTACACCTGATCAAGACGTCTTGATCTAGTTAGGAGGGCTGGGAACAACGGATTAGAACAGCCTATTGTGTTACTGTATCTTTGACCTTCGTTCCATTTATCGAGTAAGCTGAACTCGTAATAACATTCAAGCATATTAACAATAATATGAATATTTGACGAACTGTTTGTATGTGTGTGAATCTAAGCATTCGGAACATTCGAATTAGTCTTCTCAATAGTTTCTTCATAGAAGATAAGCAATATTGTGTGACTTGTACTTACATAATACTTTGTTCCATCTCCACAAAATTTCGTATTTCTCAGAAATAAAACGATTGAGAACTTGAATATCTAGAAAGAGAAAGAGAAAGGTTTTCCATTAATTTTAAAAGTATACTGACACATTCATTTTAACTTTTCATACCTTTTCAGTTATGGTATAAAATGAAGTAACCAAATGAATAATTGGCAAGACTCTAATTTATGGACGAGCCAATCAGAAGCGTTTGAGGTCACGGCGCCAATTTCAATAGCTGATGCTCAGGTACGATCGCTTACAGCGGATTTTAGAGAAGAGGTGATTATTGAGCGGTTACAAGAGATGGGACTACTAAAATGTTCCTTTACCTGTGACTGCATTACCGTGTGTAGACTATCGTGATGACATTGTGTTTCGATGTTCTTTATGTTGGAGAAAGAAGTCTGCTCAAACGGGGACTTCGTTTGCTCTATCGCGACTGAGATTGAGGCAAATCATGATAATATTTGCAAATTGGATTATAAAAGCACCAGTAACACCGGCTGCAGCACTTGCAGATGTTAATAAAACGTTAGCCGTCCAATGTTATGATTATTATCGTGATATATGTGCAATTAAAATGACACGTCTACACGAGTCATTCGGAAAAGTCGGGAGCCGTGTGAAAATAGATGAAACGGTAGTGTGAAAGCGAAAATACAACAGGGGATTTAGTACCAAGGAAGATTTGGCAAGTAGCACTTCCATAAATATATTTGACAGGTACTTGGAATTTATGATCGTTCAACGCAAAAGGGGCATTTTCAGAGGGTCAGAAAGCGGCAAGCAAGTACAATAATACCAATAATACAGGAATACGTGCAGCCTGGTACTACGATATATACAGATGATTGGAAAGTGTATAGATGCGTTCATAGACTTGTGTATGTCCATCATGTCCTAGTGCATAAACGCCATTTTGTCGACCCTACTACCGGGGTTCATACTAATAACATTGAAGCCATGTGGTCAAGATTGAAGGAGCTTTTAAGACCGTATCGCGGCTCCAGAGGACGACTATTACGGAGCCATATGGACGAGTTCCTATATCGCATACATTATGATTTCAGAACATCTGAACCTTTATCAGACCTCAACAAGTTTTTAAATCATGTAAAAGAAGAATATCCACTGTTTAGTTTTTTATAATATATTTTTACTTTATAGTAACTGTCTCCTGATTGGCTAATAATTGTCAAGGTCACTTAAGATTCGTTGAAAAGTCGTCCATAAATTAGAGTCTCACCGGCATTTGTAAAGACTTACATAAACTGAGAACAAGATTTGCAGAATAACATGGATCTATGGTATTTCAAGACTTCCGTCAAATGTAAACGGTTAGATGTTACATCAGTGAAATTTTTATATACATGAATTGATGAAATATAGTTGTTTAATCATTTCAAACTTTGTAAAGAGTAATAATAATAATACTAGCGTCACTTTGGACCAATTACACTGAATGAGAAGCCTTGAAACACCATGAATTTATTTCATTCTGCAAATCCTATTCTTCTCGACTTATTGAAATTGATCTAGCACTCAAAATGTATGGAACATTTTGAAAGTATGGTGTTTTCATCTGAGCAATTCAATGAATATATTATTGTTACTCTTTTGTTGATAGAATCATGTAATGAATTTGTTCTTAAACAAAGGTAGTACACAGATAACCATTTCTCTAAGATCGCGAACGACTAAAGTTAAACAATTAATGAAAACCTGAAAACACTGGATGACCATTTCGTCTAAACTGAGCGCATCCACGACTTCAGTGAACCTACAGTCTCTCACACAAATGTTTAATGTATAAACGATAAAGCTCCAATCCAACAGCGAATATGTCCAACTTTAATCAATCCACGAAGGTCTTGCATTCGATTCCTGCTGTTGTGGATATTGACTCGAATTGTTGAAGCCTCACACTAGGACGAAACAGGTGTTTGGTGCTTCGAGTTTGAAATAGTCATCTAACTTTGATTGTTTCTTCATTTTAATGAAGTTCAACAATTTCCAGAACCGTCCACTGATGGATAAACACCTGATGAATGAATGTTCTTTAAAACTCTGAGAAAGGAGCTGTAAATTTCAGATGACATAAAACACAAATAAGTAATTTTAATTTATGTGAACATATCGTTGTTTAAATGCATCATAATGAAGATCACCTAGTTCAATTTACCTTTTTCAGTGAATGTTCCAAGTATTTTGCAAACTTTATTTTTGTTAATAAACTTCTGTTCTGGAAATAAAATTTAAGCGAATAATTTCACATTGGTTTTGTTAAGTTCCCATAAACATAATGAATGGTAACTTTGGGATCCATTTATGGACCAATACTGTGAGTATATTTTGACCGTATAATTGTTAAATAACTAAACTATTCATATTCCTGTTCCTCTTATCATATGCTTCATTTTGACCCATAAACTATTATTATACGTTTTACCATTCTTGAGTTATACCCTGTCTATTAATTACTACCTCCCTCATTCACAGTCACATCTGGCTAATTCTTGTACAAATGTTGTTTCATATTTTATTGGTACGTTGTGGTCTGTTTGATCGGTATATGAACAGAGTATGTTTGAAATATAATGATTCATATAGCAGAGGCTTGGGTTGGTGTTCTGAACTCAACTGGCTGGGCTAGGCAGAAAGCAGGACTCTAGACTGTACATACGGGTTTACGCATCCTTGATCCGATCGATAAGTCACTGCTCTATAATCGGCGGTCACACGTTATAACAGTTTTGTTACTGAAATTGATCAATATTTGAAGTAGATAGAAACATTGAAAACTATTCAAAGAACCAGTAGTCTGATTAAATATACACATCTATTTCCGTAAGAATTCATAACTGATTGGTAAACATCATTTTGACTGTAAATTACTTTATCAAATGAATTATGAAAGTTATTTGTTTAGAAAATGATGAATCTTTCATAATTGGACAATCTAGATAACAGCGAACAGAAGAATCCGGGATGGAGAAGTGTATATGTTCTAATCTTTTTATAACAAGTCAATCTCAATTGATTGATCACTGAGTGATGATTAATGTCATGTATGTCAGGTCCTTTTTAGTGAAGATCGAATGCTATCGACCAAGTTCCAATGTGGCCACTAGTCTTGATGACTCGACTTCGTGTGCACTATGTTGAGATTAAATGGTGGTTGGAGGTAGTCGACAGGAAACCCTGAACCCGGGCTTCCTAATAACAAGTCAATATTCTCGATTAGTGTCACCAAGTTCAGGGTATATTGGTGATCAAAATAAAACGGTGAATTTGTTATCATATATTGGTTTCCTATAAGAACAGTTGAAGGTTCGGTTCGTACAGCTTTTCTCAAATCTATTTACTTTGCCTATCCTCCCAAATGGGTATGACATGACAGGCATTCGAATAACAATTATAATGTGAACTGTATAAATGCCGTGCTTTATCATACAAACTCAAAACATCTGTTAGTAGTGTAATGATGTAAAATGTTATATTTATTCTTAGTTGTTGTCGTTGAATTGGGAAAACTCGCAACAATAATACGATTCGAAGTAAAATAATCACAAATTCTGCTGACATCTTTTTGATGGAGTTTTGTTCTCTGAGCTGAATGGTTTGGTCGTGGAGCTTACATTGTTCTTCTGAACGACATCATCAGCACAAGCTTCAGATATATAAAAGCCGAGGAACTACTTGGGGATAAGAGCACATACAAACTGTTGGACATAAATCCGGTCAAAAAGTTAGTCAACTAAATCTCAAAGACTTTAAACAAGCTCGTCAAAGAAGGAAAAATAACAACTCAAGACCAATGGAGAATGAAATCCAATGGATCAGTACTCCCTCGACTCTACGGCAGACCGAAAATACACAAACGAAACATCCCACTACGTCCAGTTTTAGCACTCCTCGGAACGCCAACACATAATTTGTCAAAAGAAATTTCACGAATATTGAACCATTTAATCCATTCATCCAACTAATCCATCAAATCCCTCACACAATTCCTGGATCAAATTAAGAACATTCAAACGAACAACGACGAGCTGATGATATACTCCGATGTAACAGCGTTATTCACCTCAGTTGAACCAAGGTTAGTAAAGGAAACTATATCCATGCTTCTCACCAACGACACAAATCCCACAAAGTACACGAAGCTTCAAATTCATTGTCTACTAGAAAAGACTTCTATCTGAAGTTTGTGCTGATGATATCGTTCAGAAAGACGATGAAAGCTTCACGGCCAACTCATCTAGCTCAGAGAACAAAACTCCATCAAAATCATCCACCTGAGCTACAAATCTTCTTCGCCCTCTCTGCTGACATCATATAATTAATCTGAATGATCAGGTTAGTGGTCTTTCAGACAATTGTATCGCTTATAAGTGTTGTTTTCTTTTGTTGTTGAAAATATTCAAAATCCAATGCCATCTGAAATAAATCGACTGTACATTGATTGTTTTGTGAATGTTTTTGTTTTCATCTGTTGAATAGTGCAAATAGTATTCACCATGAATTTGTGTTGAAAAGAACGATTATAAACAAAACAGGAAACAGTGAACACTAATTGTGTATAGATATGGGTGTGCTTATCTACAATTCATTTATTACTAATATGTTTACAGTGAAACCTCGTCATTTATATTTGATTCAATTCACGAATGAATAAGGAACATTGGTAAGCTTTATAGACTAATCCAGTTTTAAATTAAGTGAAAAGTTGCCTATGTGTAATGCAAGAGAACCAATTTCTTTGTAATGTAGTAATTGAATGACAACTGTATATATTATTTATATAACTAAACATTTAAGAATATTTTCACTGACTTTTTGAAATCTGTTTTTGTCTCATGAAACAATCCTTCAAGGTTGAATAGTGAGTAACTGTAGTATTGATGAAACACAAGAAAAATAGACGAAATCCACTTCAAAATAGAATAGGAAATAGATGGTGATTATTATTATTATTATTATTATTATTATTATTATTATTATTATTATTATTATTATTATTATTATTATTATTATTATTATTATTATTATTATAACAACCAAATGCCAAATCTACTACTTCCATTCAAATAATTCACTGTATCAAAAACAAGTGATGTTTTCTGTTCTCAAAAGTTATATAAATCTTGTATGTATGAAAACATTCTCATAGAACACTACACAAAAGAAAATGTTGTAAATCGAAATTTTCAAATTTTACAGTTGATTGGCCACTGGGTCCTTCTTAGTGCAGATCGAGTTCTATCGACTAAGTTTCAATGTTTGGTCACTAGTCTAGGTGACTTGACATTGCGTGCACTATGTTAAGATAAGATGATGGTTGGAGGTAGTTAACAGGAAACCCTAGACCTCAGTTTCGTGCTACTTGGTAGTTGTCAGCAAGATGTACCCGAAATCTTGAGGGAATTAATGCTCCCCAAGGGATACGATCTTGTGTCACCTAGTTCCGCAGTCAGAGACGTTACCACTGAGTTATCCGTCCCTCAACTGACCTCCTGTATGATTGAGATATATTTACAATTGACTGATCACTGAGTGGTGATCAATGTCATGTATGTCAAGTCCTTCTTAATGCAGATCGAATCCTATCAACCAAGTTGCAATGTGGCTACAAGTCTAGGTGACTCAATATTCATAAGCATCATAAAAGTCACTGATATTAAGTCTACATTCAGTATTATAACGACAATTATTTGAAGAAGAAAAAAAAGAAAAAGAAATATAGAAGGAATCATACATGGTATTAGATCTTTATTTTCAAACTGTTTACTGATTTCTAAAAGATTTCAAATGAAGATAAACAAAGTTAAATCATATCTATCAATAGGGAGTTTATACAATAAAGTATGTTTTTGTTTACAACAATCATGGAACTCTTATTATAGATAGTTGAATTTTACTATTGTCGAAATATATTTTTTTTAAAATTAACTACATGCTATTTCGTGGATTGATTGGTGTTAGACACTATCACCATTGGATGCCGGCTCAATGGTCCAGTTGGTTAAGCGTTCGCACGCGAGACCGAAGGCCCTAGGTTGGGATCCCGCGAGCGGGATCGTAGACGCGCACTGCTGAGGAGTCCCACAATAGGACGAAACGGTGGTCTAACATCAATCGGTTCGTGATTTCAATCAAAACTCCACAACCCCTATACTAGTGAATTTCTATAGTTTGAAACATGGCCTACATGTTTTATTAACTATTCTCATTCATTTGAACACGTTTTATTTAAATGATCTGAAATATTCGTGGGTTTTTTTTATACAGATCAGGAATGATATCACGCTAACTATCATTTCGTTATTTTGTGTAACCTTTAAAGAGTAAATTTAATAAAGAAGTAGTGTGATTTATGATTTCATTTGATTAGTGAAAAGAAAGATCAAAATAACTGAAACAAACTTTTTTAAGCAATGATGGCTAGTAGTGAAATCCAGGACACACGTTTCGTCCTATTTGGGACTCGTCAGCTGGACGTGCCTGCATCTCAGAGTTGATGTTCACTCTGAGACTCGAACCCAGTACCATTCGCTTCAAACGCCATCGCGTTATCCACTCAGATACTGAGTTGTGATAGCCATTTGCTTGTGCAATGGGGTGAATTGAAATTAACTAAGTATTGTTTTGGCTTGTATCTTCCTATTGAGGTTTTAAGACTGCAATTGATCAGTCTGTTATTGGCATATGTACATACTGAAACAAATCAGTGTAATAATGCATCAATGTGAATGATAAGTTGATAAGAAGTACATTTGTAATATCTGTTCAAACCTTTGATAAACGAATGATAGGATTCTGCTTGATGTTGTTCACTTATACACTTCACGTCTAAAATCAACCATTAGATTTGTGTAAACAATTAGATCTTTATTTTAAACATACATTCTTTGATCGCTTCACTTTCTGCAAACAGATTCTGAGCCATTTTATCTGGAAGAAACAGATATACATATTTTTTGAAATTCTTCAAACAACTAATTATTCAAGGATGAGAGATTAGTACAGATCGTTGTTTATATCATTGTAAGCTGGGAAACACTTAGTATGAGACTTCTGAGCAAAACGTATTCAAACCCTGTTTTGATCCTTTAAATGGTGATGTTTCCATATTAATGAGGAGTTCCATGCTAGAACGAAACAGTTATTTAGTATACGTAGTTTTTCACTGACTATCTCACTACGATTAGTCTGTGATGTAAACTATGAAACGCGACATTTATCAGTTGCCTTACCAAATTATTATTTCTTATTTAGAAAAGTATTAGTAGACATAAGGATTAAGTTTGTATGATGTATACCACTACATAAGAGCACAAATAGCAGCGCAAATCCATGAATCGCATGTAGACAATTGATCGAATCACTCGATCGCACCAACTTTATTGTTATTCATGCAATTACATGGTTTGAATCTTGATAAGGACATATTTCAAAGGATTCAACTCCTCAATTTAACGTTGCAACTACTGTAAGGTAAATAGGGAACTCTGTTAGAAGTTTCTTGGATTAGTTGTTGGAAAACGAATTTCAGTTGGACATCATTAAAAACGACTTAGTAGATAAAATGTACTGAATAATTCATTACTATAGATAGTTGCTTTTTCTTTTAACTTCTTTTCTACATGTTACTATGTTGTGTTATACATGAAAGTGTATTTAAGACATGTAGGCTTTCTAAATTATGTATTTACGTACATTGAAAATTGGAAATCAGTTCTTATTTCACTTACTCATTTGAGTTTTTATTAACTTTTCATTTTCTCTGAACATAACTATTCCTCTCTCTGCATCATCTATAAATTGGACAAAGAATATTCTATTGAAAAAGTTAATTTCTTTTATCTCAGATTAAAACTTGACAATTTCAATAACTTAATAGTTGAAATCATGAGTGAATTGAAGCTACATCACCATGGAAAACCTGGAAACAATGGAAGGCCGTTTCGTCCTAGTATGGGACTCCTCTTTGGCAGTGCGTATCCACGATCCCGCCTCGCGACATTCGAACCTAGAACATATCAGTCTCGCGCGGGAGCGCTTAACCTATAGACCACTGAACAGGCCGGCATCCAACGGTGTTAATGTGTAACTTCAACTAATCCATGAAGTTGCGCCACCGTCCACCATTGTCACCAGTGAGTTACTATCTCACATCAGACTAGGTTGAACTCTATTGGTCTCGACTTCTCACTAAAAGTTTAGGAAATACCTCTTGTGGACCGTCATTACTGAGGGTATGACGATTATAATCAGAGAAGGGATTTTGTGGATATTATAGTAACATAATAGTTGAATTGATGAGGAGTCTCATACTAGGACGAAACAGCCGTCCAGTACTTCCAGGTATTCCACGGTGTTCTAGCTTCAATTGACTCATGAATTCAACTATTAAATTATTATAATATCCACAAAAACCATTATTTGATTATAATTGTAAACATAACTATGGATATCATCTTGCTGAACATCAAAATTGTTCGTAGAACACAATGATACTACTATTCATCATTTATATGTTAAATATGCACACTCATAGACTTATATCATAAATCATAGAAATGAGTAGAATAGTCACAGTCTGTAAAATATTATTGTTTAATAACTAATATATCAATATTTTTTGTAAGCAATGATGGATAGTGGCTAGCAGTGAACTTCAGGACGCGCGTTTCGTCCTATTTGGGACTCGTCGGCTGGATGTACCTGCATCTCAGAGTTGATGTTCACTATGGGATTCCACTGCTAACCACTATCCATCATTGCTTACAAAAAGCTTGTGAATTAAGGCAATATCGAGGCATACGCACAGTATGCACATATGCCAATAACAGACTGATCAATTGCAGTCTTAAATCTCAATGGAAAGATACAAGCCAAACAATACCAAGTGAATTAATATATCAATAGCTGTCGATGTCCCATTTATATCTAGTGGTAAATCAACTAGGATGGTTTTAAGGTAAACACTATTGGATGAATTTTAAACGATGTGTACAGAGCTATAAATGAACCTTATTCATATAGACACGTATTTCACAAGACAATCTATGTAAACTTTACATTCTCAAGTGTTACAAATTAAAACATACTTAGTTCTTCCACATCGCTCCAAGTAACTAAGTTTAATGAAAAGAAATAGAATTATACATGCTCTTGATGAAGTATTAGGGCATCAATGTCTTATTCAATATTTACTTTCAAAATAGTTATTATAGAAAAGTTATAAATTGCAGTTCGAACTGTTTAATTGGACCTTTGTAACAATTGATCTGCTTTAATATTGTTGATCGTTCACTTAGAATTGGACAATGGTTAGTCACTTCAATTCAGTGGATTGTTGACGCTAACATGAGAACTACTAACTAATCAATTAAATATCGGTAAGCAACTATCTAAAATGGTTGCAATTTTGAAATATCAATCTAGAAAGATTGAGTTTGACATAATTGATGCATCGTTCCCATAGATGAACTTGAAGCTTTATTAATAAATAGCATAGTATTTTGTAAAAGAACAATCTTTCCACAAAAATCTTGGCATATTTATTAAAATACATTAACTAGCAATATTTGATATAACTCCACCTAGAACCCCGATGGGGATACCGCTGGTCCCAAGCCCGGAAAAAAGGGAGAGGATTGGACATGGAGTTAGTTACCCTATCCCGTAGAAAGCTAACTCGCTAAAAGAACTCTAACCATCAATGTTTGATATAGCTGTTCAAACTATACATAAATCACGAGTTAAAGTGGTATATATATGTATATTATCGAGATATGGTTTGATGACTTACAAGATTGAGGTATGGCTTGAAAAAATATTTCAAAATATCAATTAGTACAAAACTAATTGAAGTGAAGTAACAATTTAATGTGATAACATTATCTTAAATCATCTTCTAATAATGTCTATTCTTGTGTTAACCATGATTCCCAGTGGGTAAACAAACTGTAGAATATATCAGAAGGGACTTTGTAGATATTATAGTCATTTAACTGTTGAAATCATGATTCAATTGAAGCTAGACAACCATGAAAAACCTGGAAGCACTAGAAGGCCATTTCATCCTACTGTGGGACTCCTCAGCAATGTGCATCCACGATCCTGCCTTGTAAAATTCGAACTCAGGTCCTATCAGACTTGAGTGAGAGCGCTTAACCATTAAACCACTGAGCCAGCCGGCATCCAACGGTGTTAGTGTCTAACTTGAACTAATCCACACGAAATTGAGCGATACATTCATAGTGAAGCTGTTGGCTAAATGATGATAGGTGATAGGTTTAGTTTAAAAAAGTATTTTCATCATATACTGGAATATTATATTTACTTCTCATTTAAACACGTATCACTATATAAATTGTTTTCATGATTGAATATTAAGTTTTTCGCTTAAGGAGTCAATGGGGATGTATTATATACAATACAAGATAGTTCCATGAAAAGATTTGTAATAGATTCTATTGATTTCTTTTGGGAAATAAAAATCGACTTAGTCTAATTTATGATAACATTGTTGTGTGGTCCTATTTTTCTCATGAATGATTAGATTACCATTTTTCTTTGGAAGGCAGAATTTGCTAGTACTTTTAATGCAATAAATTGCTGTCAATGATGTCAAATGTTGTAACTAATTAACTAGCAAGTAGTGATAAATACTCTCAAATAATTTTAATTGTAAATCAGTTATGCAGATGTGAAGGCGCGAATCGACAAAGCAAGAGTAGAATATTTACAACTGAAGAACATCTGGAACTCAAAACAACTGTCTGTCAACCAACAACAAAGTTAGAATTCTCAATGTAGAATTTCAACACAGTTCTACTGTATGGGACGGAAACTAGGAGAACTACGAAAGCCATCATTCAGAACATACAAGTGTTTATTAACAGTTGTCTACGCAAAATACTTCGGATCCGTTGACCAGACACTATCAACAATAACCTAGTGTAGGAGAGAACAAACCGGACCCCAGTGGAGGAAGAAATCAGAAAGAAGCAATGGAAGTGGATAGGACACACATTGAGGAAAGCACCCAACTGCGTCACAAGACAAGCCTTGATGTAGAATCCTCAAGGCCAAAGGAAAACCGGAAGACCAAGGAAAACATTACTCCGGGAAATGGAGATAGACATGAGAAGAATAAACAAGAATTGGATGGAACTAGAAAAAAAGGCCCATGACAGATTGAGTTGGAGAATGCTGGATTGTGGTCTATGTTTTATTGGGAGTAACGGGCGTAAGTAAGTAAGTGATTTGGGTCGAATGATGTATGATTTTGTCTAAGTTAATCTTTTTTTAATACAGAAACGAAATGTGTACAGAAGCCGAAATGCCTTATTGCTAAGAAAAATTGAATTATTACGAATTTAATTTCTGTTATTTATTTGCTCCGAAGGAGTGGCTTAAACTGAGTCACGAAACGCCAGGAAACCTAATTTCTCTATTCCTTGGGATATCTACAAATATGTTATTTATTCTTAACTTTCTACTCAAAAGTCAATGTATAAACAAAGATGGATAGTGGCCAGAAGTGGAATCCAGGACGCACGTTTCGTCCTATTTGGGACTTGTCAGCTGGGTGTACCTCCATCTCAGAGTTCATGTTCACCCTGGGATTCAAATCCACTACCGTCCGCTTCAAACGCCATCGCGTTATTCACTTAGCTACTGAGTCCTGATAGCCACTTGGTCGTGAAATGGGATAAATTTGAAATTTAATTGGTATTGTTTACTTGAATCTTCCCATTGATATTTAGGACTGCAATTGATTAGTCCAACTGACGAGTTCCAAATAGGACAAAACGCGCGTCTTGGATTCCACTGCTATCCACTATCCATCTTTGCTTATAAATTGAGGCAATACGCACAGTATGCACATATTGCCAATAAGAGACTGATCAAATGAAGTCTTAAACATCAATGAGAAGATTCTAGTAAACAATACCAATGTTCAATTTATTTGAAACTATCAAGTTCAACCTTAGTACTGATACCTCTAAACTGTTCACTATAGACATTCATATATTTCATCTAAATAAATGTTCGTATTAATTATTCATTCATTGAAACTTTACAGTCGTATCTGTAACAATTTAAGTAAATAAACCACCTCATTTCGTTGAACACAGTGATGATTCTGACAATTCAAGTACTATTTATTATGAATACGAACTAATCCATGAACATTGTTTGATAACTTACGATCATCTCCCAATGCTATGAAAAAATATAACATGTAAGTATAGTTATAATTAAAAGCATAAAACAGTGTATCTAGGAGCATGTTTCACTTTGAAACTAGTTTAAACAATCATGGTTGATTGTTATTGGAGACCATAAGTTCTATTTTTTTTTAGTATAAATCTTCCTAATTGATACTTTCATCGATTATTCAATTTGTATCCTTAATAGGTAACGGTTAGTTACTAACTTTTATAACTAGATTGTTGTATACAATCATTAATTCATTGTAAAAGATCATTTACATTATAACTTTCAATGTTATCATCACTGATAAGTAACAATTGTGCTTAATGGAGATTTATTTTGTCAGACATTTGAAAGTTCTTCAATTCTCATTGTATTCACAATAATAATAAATATTAGTAAACTTAGCGGATACCCACAAAGTAATTGAAAGACAGTTGAATATCTTTATTATTTTCTGATAATAATAATAACAGATTTGAAACTACTGTACGAGTTGATGCCGATTGAATACATTATCATTTTGATACTACTCATAAGGCACTGAACATGTTTGTTCACCTATTCTGTCTATCTTCCAGTCCATCCTTTCGATATCAATACATTACAGAATGGTTTTATCATATAGTCATGATATGCTTGACGCTAATACGTGTTCAGCTTACTCGATAAATGGAACGTAGGTCAAAGATACAGTGACACAATAGGCTGTTCTAATCCGTTGTTCCCAGCCCTGCTAACTATATCAAGAAGTCTTGATGAGGTGTAGAGAATGTATTCTACAAACACTCAGAAAATACGAGGTCACCAGGCACACAAATCAAGCTTATTTATAGAATGATAGAAACAACCTTATGAGAGCCACAAAATAGCGTAGAAAAGAAAACCGTCAATCAATGACAGTGAATGATTTCGAGGTGGGAAATGTAAGCTGTATGTCAACTAAGCGTCTGCTGGTGTGAAAATATGAAATCCGAATTTTCAGAATAAAATGACAAAATTAGGACCTTTTCCAAGTGAGTTCGAGGGATCTAACATCCTCAATAAGTCAGAAATTTGTTATTTGAAAATAGCAATGACAGAGTGACTACATCGAAATACGTCTACAATATAATACTGATTTATATCAAATGTGTCGTCTTTATTCTAAAGTACATCTTAATCATCATCACTGAAGCATAGGGTCATTTATGGATCGTTTTCTGCTGCCTACTGACACACAATTTTGATTGATTTATGTCAATCTTTGGAACCGAAATAGGAGTGTCAACTTGTTTAGTGGCTTCTGTATTCACTAGTTTGCATTATTGTTTTGGTGTTAACACTCTGAATGAAATCTATCTTGTATGGATTTCTTGTCAGCATTTCATCCAACAATCTATTGAAACTAAATAATATTCAACTGGTTCATCAATCGAAAAGATATTCGTTAATTAATAAATTATCACACAGTTGATATTTCACTACTGACTACAATCCAGAATTATATCAAAAAAACCTATTCAACAATTATTAACCGTTGATTTTACTGGCTAGCAGTGAACACCATGATTCTCTTAGTCTGATTAGCTGACTGTACTTGCAGCCGTGTTGATATTTACATCTAGACTTCAACCTGTTAACGTTCTCTTGAAACACTGAACGTTATATCTATTCAGCTTCCTATTACAAATAGTCATTGATTTGTGTAACGAAGATGAAATCTTATCAGTTTGTATCAGTCAGTCAGTCAGATTCAACGTAGGACCAGGCAAATATATGCACCGGTCCAAGTTGACATTACCGCATTAGCACAACAAGATAAACACCGGATTCATAGAAGTAGTTAAGTCAATGGTGGTAATATGTAAAAGAAAGATTGCATATAAGGACATAGTACAGGAAGAAAGATTTAGTTCGTAGAAAGAAAAATATGAAGCGATTTTAATCTCATAGTTTAAAGGAAGACAGAGAGCGTATACACCTATTCCATTGTGATCGATTCTGAGCCATGTCACCAAGAGTCTCCAACCATTAGTTACGATAGTCACGTGGGCCCCAACCAAGTAGTCTGCATCTAACAATGTGGATCAGACTAGAAGTTAGTGAATTTGTGGACTGATGCCACGTTTTGGTTTGGCCGCCCCTAACTTTCTTCCTACCATCCCCCACACCGGTTAGCATTGCACAACTTGGTAATCAGTGTTCAGCCATACGCAGCACGTGGCCCAGCCATCTCAGTCGATGAAGATTCACAACCTCATCAACTGATTTACCATCATTCCCTAATACCCTGCGTCTAACCTCACTATTACTTACCCGGTGATCCCAGCAGACACCAGCAATATTTCTAAGGCATCTGTGGTCAAATACTAGTAGCTTACGAGTGTCTTCTACTCTTAATGGCCATGTTTCGCAGCCTTAAATTAAAACAGAACGGACTGCCGCGCGGTATACTCGTCCTTTTATTGATAGACGGATATCTCGCCTTCGCCATAGGTGACATAAGTTGGCAAAAGCCAAACGAGCTTTTTGAATCCGTGCTGAGATTTCGTCCGATACCAACCCATTAGGGCTGATCAGACTTCCAAGATAAGTGAAGTTGTTGACGCGTTCGACTACTTCACTGTTTATCCTTAGTTCAGATGTTAACGCAGACCAGTCCTGAAGCAACAACTTGCATTTAGAGGGAGAGAAGCGCATTCCAAACATTCTGGCATTGTTGCTTAGTGTTACCAAAAGACTCTGCACTCTATCAGCGTCTTCACCAAATAGGACTATGTCATCTGCGCATTCTAATTCAATAAGTGGACCTCGTGGAAGGAGATCAACTCCATCAGTAGGCCTATGATGAAGTTAAATAAAAATGGAGAAAGTGGATAGCCTTGACGGACATCACTTGAGGTTGCAAAAGCAGATAACAGTTCGCCATAAGCTCTGACTTGACTATTAGTGTTCGAGTAAAGAGCCTTCACAACGTTTATATACTTCTCAGGTACGTCTTTCAATGACAGACACTGCCACAGAATCTCGCGGTCTACAGAGTCAAATGATGTTTTTAAGCCAAGAAGGACCACCATTGTCGGACGCCGATAAGTATGCCTGTGTCCTAGAAGCTGACGAATTGTTTGTATGCTGAGGACCTTTAGAATACTGATCAAAATGCTCTTGAATCAATGTCAATACCAAGCCTATACTTTTTGGGATCCATGTATTTAAAAAGAAACTGATCAACTGGAGTCATTCAACTTAACAATGGGAAGACACAAACCCTCACGAATGAATGAAAAATTCTAAAATGATAAAATTGACAAGACTATTTGACAGGATGAAACAGAAGAAAAATCATTAGTTGGAGAATGACTTTCACTTCAATATGAGTATTGAATGTAAATTTTCTATTTAAAAATGAGAACCAGTTCATTATTTTGATGTAAAATGTACCAATTAAATAACTGACAATCAGTATAATTAATCTCCAATGATTTGACTTCTAAGTCACTGATTGGATTCTTTTTAGTGTATTTCTTCATTCAAACACAAGTAAGCTATATACAAACACATAACCGTTTCAACAACATCAATCATCATAGAATTCATGAAAAAAGAGCGATACTCTCATCGACTATTCAATTTTAGAGCTGTACTCCTGGATTCATAATTCATCAGTTTATTTCATTGTGTTTTTTTTTGTTGAAAAATGAATCAAATAGAAATTGTTCTTCGTTTAATCAATTAAACATTTCAGTAGTTGAGATCATGATTCAATTGAAGCTAGACTACCATGGAAAACCTGGAGGCACTAGATGGCCATTTTATCCTATTGTGGGACTCCTCCTTGACAGTGCGCATCCACGAACCCAGAACCTATCGGTCTCGCACGCCAACATTTAGCCTTTAGACCACATTATTAAAAAACAAAATCAACGTAGTGTATTTTATAAAGACAATATTCTATCACTTACCCCTATCGAATAGCACTTGTAAAATATTGTAAAAAACAGTATATATGTTTATGCAAAACAATAAAGGTCATGAAATATGTATCCATTCTTTTTTCTATGCAAATTGTTAATTCATATTGATTCGCTAGTTTCTGTCATACTGTGCTGTGTGCTACTGATGTCGACGGAGATAAGTAGTATATATCGGCGAACCAATCAGGTATACAATAACACGCCTTGAACTTTGGCGCAAAATTCACTCATCCATTTGGCTAAATTGAGTTTTGACATTATAGCTGATGTCAGTTGATGATGTAAACCCTATATCTAATTCCTAACCCTTACTATCAACTGTAAATATTAATTCTAATTCCTCACATTGGTTTATAACCCTCATTTAGCCGTAGGATGTAGGAGGACATTCTCAAGGTCACTTTAACTTCATTCAAAGGTCGTCCATAAATTATAGTCTTACCTATATATCATCCATTACAATACCTGTTTAAACTGTATCATTCACAACTAATTATAATAATGTAATGTGTATCTCTTGTCAATGTTGAGATGGTGGTCAATGTTCCAACGATTGTTGTATTGATACATATTTGTATGCTTTTTATCGATCAAATAAGTTGTTTTTTTGATAAAATCAGTTCCATGTAAATGCATTATATGCCCATTAGAAACTTTATGTTTCCAACATCTTGTTTTTTCGGACTAGACATTCAGTACAATAAATAGTTAAACTTGTATTCAATGACTTACCATACATAGCATCTTATAGGGGAAAGTATCAATAGAAAGTGAAAGTCAAATAAATAAGTAAATCATATTTTCAGTTAATTCTTGATGAGTTTTTATTATCATTACTGTTAGTAAACGATGATGATGATGATGATGATGATTCGTTAACGAATAAAGTTATAGTAGTGGATAGTTATAATTTTAGTTCATTGAGATACTTTGGGTGACTTTGAAACTGACCAAACAAATGTAAACTGGTCAGAATTCTACTGTATTAAATGATACAATTATAAAGGTGACAGAATTTTAGAACTTTGAAATAATAGAGTCTAACTCTACTAACCACCTCTTGTAAGAGAACAAACCAGATCCCAGTGGAGGAAGAAATCAGAAAGAAGCGATGGAAGTGGATAGGACACACATTGAGGAAAGCACCCAACTGCGTCACAACGCAAGCCCTCATATGGAATCCTCAGCGTCAAAGGAAAAGTGGAAGACCAAAGACAACACTACGCTGAAAGAAGGTCGAGGACAGAGTGGGTTGGAGGATACTGGTCGGTGGCCTATGCTCCATAGGGAGTAACAGGCGTAATTAAATAAGTAGATAAGTAAATAACTCTATCAACCAAGACAAAACATCGGTACTTTAATATTTTAACCCTTAAATGAAAATTTAGTTTATGTAAAAAAACCCTAACCTTTTACAAAAAGAGACAAAATGCAGGTCATACAGGGTTTAACATGATCTTCCTCTTAGAGTGTCATGTCTAATAAATGTCTTCATCTAAAATATAACAATATGTAAAATGATCTTATGTCTGGTTTCATGAGATTCTTCATGTGTTATATGCTGCCTTTATCTACAGAGAATGTTACGTACTTGTGAAATTTTTGAGAAGTTCTCGAATTATCTTTGTGGTAATGGTAATGGTAGTATTAGTGATGATATTAGTATTATTAGTACTGGTAGTGTTGTGAGATGGTGTTGCAGTAGTAAAAATAGAACGAACATCAAGACAGTTCTATTGTACGGAGCTGAGATTTCGGGAACTACTACAACCATCATAAAGAATTTACAAGTATTTATAAACAATTTTCAACGTAAGATACTCAGTGTCCGTTGATCGAATACCATCACCAACAGATTACTGTGCGAGAGAACAAACCAGCTTCCATTTGAAGAGGATATTAAGAAAAGAGGTGAATAGGACATGTATTATGGTAATCATTAAACTGAATCGTGAAGCAAGCGCTAACTTGAAATGCTGAAGGGAAACGGTAAAGATGAAGACCAAAGAACACATTGTATAGGGAATCGAAAGCAGACATGAAAAGGATGAATAACAACTAGAAAGGATTGCCCATAACACAGTTGGATGAAGAATTATGGTGGGTGGCTTATGCTTCTCTACAAGGGGTAACAGGCATATACAAGTAATGAAAATATCTATATGTATCATATTCAGAGATAAATTACTTTCATTTGAAGATTTTGTCAATTTTTGTATGACAATAACTACTCCAAATACACATTCTCACTTGATATGATGGAAAGAAATGTCAATTTTTCATTGATTTACTCATTGTGAGTTTTGTTCAAGACTACCTTCCGTTTTTCATTCAATGTAATGATTAGTCAATGTAGTATTTGTTTTCTCTTCTCGTATGATATTTTCTTCTGTATAATATACGATATTCTTGTATTCCATTGACATGAACTATCCTCTGTATGTGATTTCATCTTAATTATTCATCAAAATGGGTGGACAATCAGTATATAAATGAGTGTATTTTCTACTAGAACTGTCGTCTTCGTCGTCGTGTTTTGGGTCTAATAAATCATCACTTATACTAATCTTTGTGTTCTTACTTTCGTATCATGGGAATTACAGAGGTCCCTCGTTTCGAGTATAAGTGATAAGTGTTTCCGACATAACAATCAGCGACGACCAGATACAAAAAGTAGTATTAAAAGAGCCAAAACAATAAACATTCAAACGACATATTATAACATCAATATGATAGTGAAAACCTTCTTATTAGAATACATTGAATATCATTACTTAACTTGATTATTCGAACACTATTTTAAACATCAGTTAAAGAGTACACATTTTGAAAAGAATGATTTTTTTTGTCAAACTTACAGTTTCCCATAGCAACTTGAAAATGTACCAAAATCACGATGAAATAAAATAACATTGTACAGTACATCTTTTTTTTTCTTTTAAGAATATTCAGTATTTCTATTCACTTTTATACTAATATGATGTAATAGTGATTCATTAATTTTAATCTCTAACCTTCAGTCTGTTTATTATTGGTTTATATTAAAGAATAATTATAACATTTTAAATTGTACACCCACTGAACAGCACCATATTTAATGAACAGATAAATGACTCATGATCTTAACCATTGAAATTACTATAATATCTTCAAAACCCCCTTTTGATATTATTCAGCATATACTCACTAGTGACTGACTTCAAAAGGTATTTCTTGCAGTTCTAGTAAGAAGCAGTGGAGTTCAACCTGGTCTGTTGTGAGATAGTAACTCACTGAAGACAATGGTGGATGTGTGATTCAATTTCCTGGATTAGTTAAAGTTAGACATTAACACCGTTGGATGACGTCCGACTCAGTGGTCTAGTGGTTAAGTGCTCGCGCGCGAGACTGATAGGTCCTGAGTTGGAAGCTTGAGAGGTGGGATCGTGGACAAGCATTGCTGAGGAGTCCCACAATAGGACGAAACGGCCATCCAGTGCCTCCAGGTTTTCCATGGGGATCTAGCTTAAACCAACTCATGGTCTTGACAATTGAAAATATATCTAGGAAGTTTGAAACAAGTTCTGATGTTTGCAGTGTAGCAGTAGTAGTAGTAGTAGTAGTAGTAGTAGTAGTAGTAGTAGTAGTAGTAGTAGTAGTAGTAGTAGTAGTAATAGTAGTAGTAGTAGTAGTAGTAGTAGTAGTAGTAGTAGTAGTAGTAGTAGTAGTAGTAGTAGTAGTAGTAGTAGTAGTAGTAGTAGTAGTAGTAGTAGTAGTAGTAGTAGTATAGTAGTAGTAGTAGTAGTAGTAGTATAGTAGTAGTATAGTAGTATATAGTAGTAGTAGTAGTAGTAGTAGTAGTAGTAGTAGTAGTAGTAGTAGTAGTAGTAGTAGTAGTAGTAGTATAGTATAGTAGTAGTAGTAGTAGTAGTAGTAGTAGTAGTAGTAGTAGTAGTATAGTAGTAGTAGTAGTAGTAGTAGTAGTAGTAGTAGTAGTAGTAGTAGTAGTAGTAGTAGTAGTAGTAGTATAGTAGTAGTAGTAGTAGTAGTAGTAGTAGTATAGTAGTAGTAGTAGTATAGTAGTAGTAGTAGTAGTAGTAGTAGTAGTAGTAGTAGTAGTAGTAGTATAGTAGTAGTATAGTAGTAGTAGTAGTAGTAGTATAGTAGTAGTAGTAGTAGTAGTATAGTAGTATAGTAGTAGTAGTAGTAGTAGTATAGTAGTAGTAGTAGTATAGTAGTAGTAGTAGTAGTAGTAGTAGTAGTATAGTAGTAGTAGTAGTAGTAGTAGTAGTAGTAGTAGTAGTAGTAGTAGTAGTAGTAGTAGTAGTAGTAGTAGTAGTAGTAGTAGTAGTAGTAGTAGTATATAGTAGTAGTAGTAGTAGTA